ATTGAGACTATATCCTAGAAACTCACATTCTGAGCTATGGCTTTCAGAAAGTACAGCTTGCAGGGCTGGAATGGAAGCATGCAAAAGTATCTTTGCATTTTTTTTTTAGTTCTGGCATTGCCAGAGACTGGTTCAGCCTCTGTGTTAGCCAGGAGTACCATCTGATAGATGCCTAGGTTGCAATGGTGTCTTAAAACAAAAAGTCTAGCAATCCAGTATACTGCATTTTCTCGTGTGTCTCTTGCACCTTTTCCCCTAAAATTGGGCAGTTTGTATTAAGCATTGAAGCTGATTTTCTGCCCAGGATACTTACATGGGAACATGGGCTAGGCCTGGCAAGATGCAAACAAGCTTCAACCCTTTGAAAGGTCAGTTCATCCTATGGCATCCTGCTTTTATTCCTATGCCATAGTGCAGCAACTGTGCTATTAATATTCAGGCAGCTGAGGAAGCCAGTTGACTTAATGGCTTGTTGTTCTTCACTCCATTGGTATTAATTATTGTCTTGCCTTTTTAATGGTCTCGGTATTCCATTAATTGAGCTAACATTTCTTCTTCTGCTGTTTGCTAGCTGCTCCTGGTTTCTCTCCTATTTCACAGCCTTGACGAGTCATCTCCTTTCAAAATCATGCATCTACCCATGGAGACGACCCTTTAGCAGCAGCTGGGATTTCAGCTTTAGTTAAGCAGGAAAGGGAGGGTGAGTCAGCTGAAGATTAGGCTCTATCCCTACTCTGTGCAGCCGTAATTCTGGAAAAAAAATCTTAATTCTGCCTTTGAAAAACAAGGTGTGTATTTATAATCTGGGTTATAGTGTATGTGAGAAAGAATGGCAGTTAAAGCTGAGTACACCCAAGGGACATTTACTCTCTACCCCCTCGAAGCCAGGAGCATACGCTGTCTGAGGAATCCTTTTGCTTAGGAGGGGACTGTCAGGTCAGGAGACAAAATATGTCTGCATCATCCAGTGTAGACCTGTTCATATTTCCCAGACCTCTTCTTGATTACATAAAAACAAACTATTTGGTTTGAATGTATTCAAGATGTTTCTTTCCATTTCAGCTACACGTGAAACATTTGTGGAAGAAGCTGACCCTGCTGCAGCCATTTTAGAAAGTTCTTCTTCCTATTCCTCCTGTGGGTTTTCTCCTAACAGGTTCCTTTTTACTTCAGTCTTTTACTTCAGCTCCTGTTCTCTGTAATCTCCTCTTCTATGTCTTCTGCTGAGGAGCTCTGGAGAGTTACTCGAACTAGGACTCCTCACTGCCCCTTTCCAAGCTGTCCGTTCTCACTCTTTCATGGAATGTTCATATCTTAGTTTTGTTTTTCCTGAACTTACCCCCACTGCCTTCATTCAGGTTTCCCTTGATATCTCCCAAGCAGGCCTGATTCTGGGTTACATGCTCCCATCATACAACCCCAGACCTATTCCTCTTACTTGGGAACATGGACTACACCTGGCAAGGTACAAACAAGCTTCAATCCTTTGAAAGGTCAGTTCTTCCAATGGCATCCTGCTTTGATTCCTGTTCTGCAGTACAGTATTTCTGAGAACTACCTAAGCAGCAAAATGTTTATTCTTATATATTGGAAGTTAAGAAAGAGCCTAATATTAAAATATGGCTCAAGTAGCTATCAGAAAAAAACAGTAGTTGAAGATTTTGCTACCATAGATTCAGCAAACTGCAAGTATATGACAAGATCTGACAACCTATTTTGGATGTGTATGACTTTCTACTGGCATTTCCAAAAATGTTCAGTGACCTGGGATTTTGAACTCAAAAGACAAGTTAAGTATTTAAGTACTTGTTGAAGTAAGAAATTATTGAAATACATAACTAAGCAAGAAGTTCATTAGGTGTTCATTTACCCTACCAGCTGTACTCCCACTAATCTTGGTAAGATGAAATATATGCTACATGATGCCTCATTATTTCTAGCAAGATTATTACTAATATTACAGCCTGCAATTGTTGAATGAAGATATTTTTCATGATAGTAGCTTTTATCCCCACCCTCTGAAAAGATCTACGCAGGGATTCTCAACCAGGGGTGCGAGATCCTTTCCAGGATGCCATTGGGCACTGTTAGCACCACAGTATTAGCACTAAGTTGCATTTTCCAAGGGCTGCCTTAAGACTGTTGAGTGGTGCCTTGAGTCTGGAAAGGTTGAGAAACCCTGTCCTAGTGCATGCTTACCATCTTGCCATTATTAATATTTTGTTCCATAGTTTCCAATTTAAATGCCCTCACCTCAGGCTAAATAATAAAATCCCTGATGAGAGAGATGCATAAGAGAGTGACACATGTATCATAGTACTCACTTCCTCATCTTCCAAAGTGTTTATGAGTAGGAAAAATAAATATGGATAAGAGAAAAAGATGGTGAAAAATACCTTAATAAACAGAAATCAGATGGTCTTTGTAATCATGGCAAATAGTGCCAGCTTCTTGTGCATTAATGGAGAAAATAATTTTAGAAACAGCAGCATAAATTTAAACTCATATTTAGCAAATGGTGATTCCAATTCAATGAAATGTTGCTAAGATTGTATCATTTTAGTTTAAAAACTGGTAACAGTATTTTGTAGAGAAAATACTAAAATACTACATATGGCCACAGGAATATTGGTTTAAAAGCATAGTTGTCTCTAATTACTTTAATAGAGCATAGTTGTCAAATGAGTTAAATATTCAGTTTGTTGGACATCTGTAATTAAGGCACTTAAAAGGTAAATTGCCTCAAGTCATTTGAAAGTTGATTTAAAAGAATTTACATGTTGACTAGAACATTCAGCTTTTAACTGGTGAGTTTTAGGAACAATTGTATACAATACTGAATATCATTTATCACTAATCTTGTTAAAGTCATATTAGTCTCATCTGAGCTGTGAAATGTGCTGAGTAATATTAGTTATATTTCATTTCTTTTATAAATAGTATAAATAGTTGCTAATATCTTGCCTGCAATTCTATATTACATGTTTTGACATTAATACCTCTGAGCTTAATTATGCTTAAATATAATTTATCACCATTGTAACATGCTGTTTTTGTCATTTTCCTCTGTCTGCTATTGCTGTTTTTGTCATTTTCCTCTGTTTACTATTACCGCAGTCAATAACTGTTTAAATTTCAAATGTATTTTTCTTATTAAAATATAGAAAATTTTGGAGTTCATAATCTGTTGCTTTTTCACTTTCCTCCATCCATATACCATGTTTGTACGAGATGTGAAGCCAGAATATGATCTTGATTACATCAGTGTGAACATGGAACAGCTCCATGGAAGATTCCAGATAATGACGTAACTGTGATCAGAGTCTGGCCCAGGGCTTTAATATTCAAAAAGATTAAGAAAGTATTTCTTATATTGCTTCTGGGTTTTTCCCCCCCTTATTTTGTAAGTCTTTGTTGAGACATCGATACAATTTACCTTGAGAATGGTTGTAATATTATTAAAGGAAGGACTGCAATTTTCCACGCTGATTTAAACTATTATCTAGAAGGAAAAAAAACAAAACCTTTCTGAATAGTACATATCTGCATTTCTGAATTTAAAACATTACAATGCAATACTGGTTTTGTTTCTTACAAATGAGTTAGCAGTGCACTTATCTGATGCTAGGTGGTTTTGTTTGTAAGTCTGACAGTCAAAACAAATAAGACATTTCCTTCGTGCTATTTCTGTTATACAAATTTGAAAGTTTTCTCCTCTGCAAGCAGTAAACGAATAAATCATAGTTTGTGTGAGGTTGACAGTTCTAATTGTTTAGCACTGACATGCTTTAGTCAAGTGGGGGCATCATTGGTCTTTCCCAAAAAGGTAGTCTGGACAGAAAAATGTACTTGTTACACTTAAGTGGGTGTGATATAATAAATAATTAACCCCAGTTTTATCTTGAATTTGGGGGCATAGCCTTGGTATAAGTAATTAGCCTTTCTTTAAAATTATGTAACATTTTCAAAAAGAAATATGCTTGCTGTAAAACTCCTGGAGTTTTGTATTTTTGCCAGTTAACTATGTTTGTCTGTTTCATTATATCCAAGCATGTGTTAAACTGAAGGGTTGTTTTTTAATAAAGTAAAATTATTTTTCTTGAAAATATTAACTAGAATTAATAAATATATAAATCTTTAGGATGGTTTGATAAATACTTAACTGCCTGTAATGAAATTATTTACTTCAGTCCTGGTTTTCTTTCGTTATAACCATAAATTGTGCTAATAAGTGCTGCTAACATGCAGCTTTAGAAGTCAGTCACTAATTCTTTCTTAAATCACAACTTGTCTTGCTTCATTTATTTTCTAAATCCCCTTTTTAAGGAAATAGGAAAATGGGAGAACAAGTGAAAATCTTAAAAAAAATAAAATAAACTCCGTTTGCTGTGAACTACTCATAAATTGCTCTAAAATATCTTTACATCATTAAATTTTATGTAACGTAACAATTCAGTGTAGGACATGCAGTTACAAAGTTTACATATAGATGTAAACAAAATTAATGTATTAAGGAAATGTCACACACACTGACTTTGATCTTGGTGCTGCATAGATCACAACTTACATTAAACTTCAACCCTCCTATGTTTTGCTTTTGATCCAATCAACATGTTATCTTTATTAAAAGTGAAAATGCTTTTTTATATTTTTCATTTTGGAAAAGCTTTTTAAGGGCGTGTAAAAAGAACTGTGCGATAATATGCCTTAAGTATATAAGTACTTGAACATAGTTTTTCCATGGGTACATTGCTGGTCTGTTCTCATGTGTAGGTAGAATCCTGTATATGTATGTACATCTTTTAAAGACAAGTGCCAAGGGCTAAGACTGAAGCTAATAACTTGTGATTTGTGTCTTTTGCAAGTTACAGTCATTGTAAATTGACAGGTTTGAAGGACCTAACCTAACATCAAAGGATGCAGGTCATTTAGTTAGGTCAATTAATGTTAATTCTCACCTTCCATTACATTCTTTTATGTTTTCCTCTTTTTTTTTCCAGCTAAGCCCAATACCAAGTCCTGTTTTGGGGAGAAAGCCAAATGCTAGTCAGTCACTGCTTGTATGGTGCAAAGAAGTTACAAAAAATTATAGAGGAGTGAAAATCACCAATTTTACTACATCATGGAGAAATGGTTTATCCTTTTGTGCAATATTACACCACTTTAGACCAGATTTAATGTAAGTCATGTTTACCCCTGTACTTAAATCATACGTATGTGCTAAAATTAAAAAGATAGAAAAGTAAAACTGTGTACTGTCAGGTCTTGACACATTATATTGTTTCGTCCTTTCATTTTACATGGTACCACCCTATCTGAGGAAAGACATTTTATAAATGTCCAAACTTTATGACCTTCCTTGTTCTCTCCTTCTTATGATTTGTTTTTCTCCTGTTAATCTTATACAAAGAATTGACTTCAAAATGATTATGAAAATTGTGTTACTGTTGAAATGAGATGAGACAAATAAGCCTGTAGCTCTTTATACATTGATGACAACGGATTACCTCATGGTAAATTTGGTTGTCAAGGCCAGCCTCTAGCCCATGCCTTAACTTCTCTTATAGATGGAAAGCTTCAGGCAATGAAACATGTAATCGCTGTTTGTTTATTTATTTATTTATTTATTTATTCCTTTAATTTTCCACACTATTAGTTTTGTTGATTGAATTGCTGTGAAATTGCTAGTTACTGTATGATATTATTGTATGTCAAATTTTTAGATTCAGTTTGTTTTAAAACTGCTGCTTTTATCAAATACTGTACATACCCACTGTGCCATTTTCCCCCTCAGTGACTACAAGTCCCTGAATCCTCAAGATATTAAAGAGAACAACAAAAAGGTAAGAACTGCCAGGAAAAAAAGACATAGCTTCAATTTTGGCTTCACTGCAGGTTTTTATTAATTTTGGGAAAGTGAGGTTGTTTTGTAAGGTCATAACTGCAGCTCACAGAAGGTATTCAGCCTCCTGTGGTTCAAATCGGATGCATTATTGACTCTAGTTTGTCATGGTCTTTAACATTCACAACAAGTGCCAGGCTGGCATTAGAGTTTAATACTTGTATGGCCTACATTAAGTGTAGAAAGAAAGAGGGGATGGGGTGACTTTTTATAATAATTTCTATTATTTTTCTAATAAACCAGTTAATAAAAAAAAGAAACACAAAATATTATTTTTCTATAATTATCTTGCTTCAAGATTTGTCTGGCCATTACTTTAAGAGATCTCATGTGAGTTGATCTTAATCAGTGCTGTTTTGACTGTAATTTCTGTATTTTTAAAGATAAAAGTTCACTGCTACTTTTATCCTTCACAGTCAATTAAACTAAGTGGCAAGGTGCACTGGATTTTTATATTATAGATAATATTTAGAAAAAAAACGTTTTTGTTCTAAAACATCACCGTTTAAAAAGCTAAAATATTAATGAAATGTAGTGTGTTACAGTACTGGGCCTAGGGTTTTTAATTGACTTTTAAATGAGGTAATATAATACCCTTTTGAAGTAATGGTTATAAAGGGATGTTCTAAAACAAGTTCAATGATCTGAGATGAGTTTTAAGCATGAACTCAATCTACAAGTTGCAAGAAGACATTCTGTTGCTGCTGGCTGCTAATGTCTTAGACTGGTTACAAACTTTTATTTTTCATAAGATTTTTGAGCTTGACCCTCAAAGAATGCATTTAAAAAGCACTCAGTTTCCACTTGATTCACTTATAAATAAGTATGACTGAAAATCAGCAGAAAACTGCTTTATTAGTAGCTTGTCTTCTAGATAATCTGATTTTACCTTTTTAAACTCCTTTAAAAATAATCAGTTTAAGAAAGGAGCAACATGTAAGACAACAATGTATCTTTTAGATAAATTAGAATGCATTTTTATAGGCATCATGTAAGACTGTGCATACATGTTTACACTCAATAAAAATGCTTTGTAAAAATTAATTTGATCAAATAACAATCATCTTTTCATGCATTTTGAACACTAAAGTGTTTGTCAATGAGCAAATAATCACAAAAGTGATATTAAAATGAAATAAGTAATGAGGAATATCCAATTTGGTGTGTTCTGCTCTGTAATTTTGGATGTTAGCCATGCATGCTTTGACAACTTTTTCATAATATGTTAGGGTCTTGTGGTGACCTAAGAGGATTATCTATGACATCACACAGCTTTTATGACCATGTGTAGTTTACTTCAAGATCCCTTGATTGTAAAGACTAGTCATGCAAGATTATAAAAGACAGAGTGAATAGAGGAGCAATTAAAACTCCTCTATTAAATGTAAAATCAATTATATCATCACTTTATGTATAAAACTGTGATGGAAATGATCTATAATGAAAACTATTTAGCCCATCTCCGTAATAGTGTATAATTCCCATTATTAAAGAAGTAATTATTGTTGTTATTGTGCAGTTTTTTCTTTCATCACTTTGCAGCCCCTTGCCTGACAGATACATTGAGTATCTCAGTTGCTTCCTGCAGATTTATTTCCTGGTCTCACACAGTTCTGCCTGATAACCCCATGTGCCCTTGATTGGAATGAATGCAGCACTGGGAACAATAGCTGTGTATATATTCCATGCAGATATGTAACACATGTGACAATGATTCCTCCTAACCAATTAAAATAACATCTATGAATGAATAGGACAGTTTTTGTTGTCTGAAGCATCTCCTTTTTTCGTCTTCCCTTTGTGTAATTGACAGGAAAGCAGGCAATAGGTAACTGTGACCACAGATTAAAGGTTAACTTTTAGAAATGAGTCTTTAAGAAGTGTTTGACCTTGTTTGCAAATTTTTTTTGGAGAGACAACTATTTCAGTGTAATTATATTGTATAATTGCACATTGAAATGTATTGCCAGAAAAAAGGCACATCCTTAGAGTTTCTCTATAAACCAAACTAATCATTTTCCTTATCAGTAAGCAGTGCTGAATAAAAAAGGTATTTACCTGTGATATATGATCTTGACCAATATGTCAGTGCATTACATAATTGGGAAATGTTTAGAATACTGCCTGTGGTGCTTGCGTTGATAGATTGCAATTGATGTCTGTCAGTCAAGTTGTCAGGATACCTCAGTAAATTAAAAAAAAACCCTATCATTAGGAAATAGTTAAAGTTGAAAATGTATATCAAACAATGTCTGGCATCCCAAATGTATAATTTCCATAACAGAATTCTTATACTTAAAAAAAAAATAGTCTAGATTGCAGCCACATAGTGAATTACGTTTGCAAAGTATTCAGATGTTTTATGAATAAAAGAGAAAACATGATAATCTTTTTGAGAACATGGAATACATGGCAAGGCATATAATTATGTAGAAAAAAATCAAATAAAAATGGAAAACACCATGTATTCACTTTTATGACGGAAGTCTGAATTCACATATTTTCACATTATAAATTTCTTTCTCAATATTTAGTGTCTGGCTGGCACTTAAAATCTTTAGAATCTGACTTTACAAATATTTAAGCACATACTTAACTTTGAGCGTATGAGTTTGCCATTTGACTGCAACAGGACTACATCCATGCCTATATAAACTATCTATCTATCTATCTATCTATCTATCTATCTATCTATCAATTAGGCCAAAATCAAACAAGTACTTGCGCACATGCTTTGCTTTACCCAATAGGAGCAGCAGCAACTGTATATATACACAATAAAATATGTATGCAAGTTACAAGTATTTGTGTGATTTTTGCCTTAGTTTATATATATTTATTTAGCAAATGTTACCTCTGTCTGCTTGCTTGTATGGGACAATAACACATTGCAGAATTTAAATAACATTGTAGGTTGCGGTAATTAAAACTTCAGTGTATCTGTTGGTTCAGTGTATCTAGGCTTTGCTGGAATTTCCAGCAAATAATGAAAATAAAAAAACTAAATATTGTCATATGAAGATATATACAGTACATGCAAATTGTTATTTATAATCAAAAGTCTACATACTAGCCTGCGTATGCTTACTGGCCAACCTACATATTTGCTGCATCTGATTTTTTGTTTTTTCCCATAAATTAAAGCATAGAGCAAAAATGTTCAGAAGTGTCTAAATAATTTATGAGCATAAATCCTATTGATTTTTATAAGGATTTAGGCTTCCAGGAGCTCTTAAGTACTTTTAAATATGAAGCTTAAGTTTGTAAGGCACTTGAGTTTTTCTTGAAAATTTTATCTATGATGACTTACATAAAGTCCAAACAGGTATAACCCATGATGTTTTTATAATGATTTTTGTTGTTTTTATTGTTGAACTTGTACATAAAGTCACTAAGTAACAAAAGCAGCCACCAACCTTTTTTTTGTTTTCTATTTTTTTCTCCTTTCTAGTAGTAAAATGTAAGCATCTTCCAGATCCCCTGGAAATCTTCCTTTAATGGTACTGGGCTGTCATCTTCTTGCAATCCCCATTAGTATAAAATTATGTAACATAAAGTTCTGTGTTAATATTTTTGATTTTGGCCTTTGCAGAACACAGTTATTTTGATTCTGCATGTGTTTACCCATTGAGATTGTATAATTTAAAAGTAGTTATTGGGACTTGAATCTTTGTGAATAATTACTGAAAAGAAACAATAGAAATAACATTGTCCAGAATAAGAAAAGAAGGAAGTGTAACCCCCCCCTAGCAAATTATAATAATCACAACTATCACTACAAACAGCAGAACTTAGGAGACTCCGACAAGTAATCCTGTATACATTTAAAATGTTCTGTGTTGGGTTTTTTTAATCCACAGCTCAGAGTTTAATTTTCTGTTTTAGTGTTACCCACTGTGACTGGGCACCTTTCCTAACCTGCTGTAAAACCCAGACCAAGCACATTTTGTTGACCCGTGGGGGGGTATTTATATTAAAATAAAAAATAGACAGTAAGAATATAAAGTTCATCTCAAAGCTTCTCCTTAGCTCCAGATTTCCCAAACCATTCCCTAGGCCTCGTGCTCTTTAGAGAGCTACTCCCACTGCTTGTAGTGGTGGGGTAATAGGTCACCTGCACCACTGAATCAGCATGACCCACTTAACATCTTTCAGTAGGAGCAACAGCAACTGCTAATAAGGTTGGTTCACAAGAGAATACAGCCAGCTTGCTGTATTTTTTTCCCAGGCAGTTTCCTGCTGCCATATAACCTTTCATCACTTCCTGCAGCCATACTCCTTACACCAACGACCGAAACTCCCACTCCATGGTCCCTATTTACTGTCCCTCAAATATGTTCCTAAAACCTACTTCATTTTTGCACTCTCTGCCCCACTTGTGTTGTGCTCCCTTACAAGTTCTTTCTCTTTTCCTTTCCAGAGCAGTTCACTGTGGCCAAGATATGGCTCTGTTATAACTCTCCAAGTGCATACCAGTCCCCTGCTCCTAGTCCATGTTCCTTCTGCTCCGTTGCCCCATCCACATGCTTTCTTGCACTCCTGTCTCAGATTAGAGTCTTATATTTATAAATACAAACATTACTTTGAAGCACATTTTACCAAACTGCCCTGAAGAATTGAAAAGTTCTACCTGGCATAAAAATGTAGTTATAATAAAATTTTGGAATGCTTCAGAAAAGTGGTCCTTATTTAAAAGAAAATCAAAATTACTTGGGACTTTTAATGCTTTAACCCAAATGACTCTAAAATAACCAACAGGATCCCTTTTTAAAGGCTTCCTTGAAACACAATATTGTCTTTTGGGGCTAATCCAGGATAGTAATAATTAATTGTAAATTGAGAAACAGGTTTAATTCTTCAAAACTAGAAAAACCTGATGTACAGAGTGCAGCCTTTTAAAGGGCTAGCAGATATAATACAAAGGGCCTCTCATACCTTAGAGATTTCAAACTTTTTAGCTACTTCAAAGACAAATGAAGTGAGAAATAAATTCACTCTCCTGTTTTTATAAATTTAGCATTGAGTAAATATTTAAAAATGTCTCCTTGTGCTTGAACAGTGTATCACAGAATCTGGGGTGTAGTTCTTTTTGGTTATCTGGCTGCACATTTTCGTCTGCACAAATCACTGCAATTACATGGCCAGTAGAAGGGAGAAGCTTGATCACTAATGATAAAGCCCAAGATGGATTAGTGTAGTGTTTCTTTATATCTTTGTTCCCTATCTTAAAAACCCATCCTTAGGTTTTTTTGTTCCAACTCTTACACTTTTTTATTTGCTTGTTTCCTGCTTCTTGAGTGAGAGCCATTTAAGATGCACGTAGACTTTGGTAGTAGTAACAGGAGAATTTCTTTTAGATTCCACTTTCACACATCTTTTTTTGTTTTACTTTGAGTAGAATCAGTTGTTTTTACTACAGCACGGCAATACATCCACAACATAAAAAACAATGTCATATTAGTGTACTTCATGTTAATATTCACCGTGATCTAAGTACCCATGGAGATAGTACAGATAGTATGAAATCTTCCAAGAAAAAATAATGAGTTTAAAACAAAAGATTATGCAGTAGCATAGAGTTGTATTGACAACATAATAGAACTTGGCTTATGAAGTAATAAACACCTCAAATCTACCATATAACCACATTACTACACCAAACCCTGCAGTGATGAACCATGTCAAAGGACTTGCCTGCGATATTTTGTATTTTAACTGTTTGTTCATTTTAAATAAAATTGTCAGTTGCAGTTCTTGAGCTTTATTGATATGCTATGGAATTTCTGTATTGTAATTTTTGTTTTGTTTATTTTTAAGGCATATGATGGGTTTGCCAGTTTAGGAATATCTCGATTGCTGGAACCTTCTGACATGGTTTTGTTAGCAATTCCTGACAAACTGACTGTTATGACCTATCTCTATCAAATAAGGGCACATTTCTGTGGCCAAGAACTAAATGTCGTTCAGATAGAGGAGAACAGTAGTAAGAGTACATATAAAGTGGGTAACTATGAAACGGACACCAACAGTTCTGTTGACCAGGAAAAGTTCTATGCAGAGCTGAATGATCTGAACCGAGAGCCTGACTTGCACCAACCTGACAGTGGTTTGGCAGATTTTGTTTCTCAGGATGACTCTGTATTTGTAAATGACAGTGGTGTTGGAGAATCAGAGAGTGAGCATCAGACACCTGATGACCATTTAAGTCCAAGCACGGCTTCCCCTTCTCGGAGGACTAGAAGTGACACTGATCCACAAAAATCCCAGCAGAGTTCTGGAAGGACTTCTGCATCTGAAGAGGCCGGGAAAAGCAGCAATGCAGACACAACACAACAGCCTTTGTTGGGAAGGAAGAAACTGCTGAAAGTTGACACTTTAGACTTGAGCGATTTACCACTTGTCAGCAATCAAAAAGAAGATGCGTCTCCAACAGTTGTTTGTGAAGACACCGACAAGAAAAAAGAGCAGAGTTCAGACAGTACCATTAGTTTCTCAGAGCAAGAAAAGTTGGTCCATACAGGATCCACAGAGAACAGATCAGATCCTGGCTCGCCTGTCAAAAAGCCAAGTTTATCTCCCACTTCCAAACTTGGATATTCTTATAACAGGGATGCAGATCTTGCAAAGAAAAAACGTGCTTCTCTAAAGCAAGCAGAGGCTGACTCTGATACTAATGCCAGAACAGCTTTAAATCATGCAGATCAAATTGCAAAAACTGCACAGGTAAGACTTTGGAATTCATATATACCTATGAAACAAAATGGGGTACCTGTTAAGGTTCTGTGCCCTGCCTGTATAACGTTTATACAAATCTAAAATGACTTTGAATTTAAGATGACCCCCCCCAATAATTACAGTCTATATGTGAAAAATTATAGGTTTGTAGAAAGTTATAGAACCTAATTATTGGAGGATCATCTTAAATAGAGAAAGCTTTTTGGTGGGGGAAACAGACAACAGTCCCTTGCCTCCTCTGCCTGCCTCTTGTCTTCCTGTCTACTTTCCCCCTGCTGGCACCTGTCCCCTTGCTGTTTGTCTCTCCTACCACTTGCCCTCCCAAGCACTTGCCCCCTGCCATTTGCCTCCCTGCTGCAGTCCCTGCTCCCCCAGCCACTTGCTCCTTCCCCCCCCCGCCGCCATTACTGCTTATCCTGTGTGGCAGCTCTGGCTTGGGCCCAGGACACAGAGCACATGGTTGCTCTGGCCCTGGCCCAGCCAAGCAGCTCCGGCCTCAACTCTGGCCCTGGACCCTGTCCAAACCCAGAGCCTCAGGCCAGGGGCTGGAGCCACAGCAGCTTTCCTACTGCGCACCGTCTCCACCTACGCACACCATGAAGTCTCCTCCACAGTGTTCCCCGCCACCATCACGTGGGCTTCCCCATGCTCCCCACTCTGTGTCAGCTCCCCTGCTGGACCAGCCATCCTGATGCCAGCCTGGAGAAGGCAACAACTCTGGCATCAAATCTAGGGCCAGGTCTGGAACTTCAGCAGCTGCCTGTCCAGGGCCAATACCCAAATCGAAGATGATGGGTTTTTTTTCGTCCTGTGTTAAATAGTGAGAGAAAACCTCACCTTGGATTCAAGTAAATACAGTAATTTATAGCATGTCTTAACATGCTGTAAATGGCATTCTAGGTGGAGTATGATTTTATTGTTCAGCCAGACTAGACCTCCTTCAGCAAGTGAATACTTAGAATTATTGTGTGACGTCAAAAACAGCTGTTGTATGAAAAACAATCCATAACAACTCTTGATGGGAATTGTTCTACTCTCGTGCAAGTGAATAAACTTGTATTCTCTGCCAATTTCCAGACTTTAGCTTCAGTGAACCCCTAGGCATTTTTTTGTGACTTTTACATGCTGAAGCCTTAAGTGGAAAAAAAAATATATATATATATAGTTAATTCATTGATCCTTCTACAAGTAAGTAAAACTGCTAAACTCCTTGGAATATACTGGGCATATTTCAGAATCTTATCTGACAGGCAGCAAGGCCTCGTGAAGTGAGCACATGACTGGTAGCTAGAAACTCCAGTATTCTAATCCCAGCTCTGCTGCTAGCTCTGTGTGTGGCCTTGAGCAAGACACTTTGCCACAGTGTCTGTTTTCCCATCTATAACATGAGGGTAATTATACATGCATACCTCCCTCACAGGTTTAGCACAAGGATTAATTAGTCAATACTTGTCCAATGCTTTGAAATTGTAAAGCACTGCATAGGAACAAAGCATTCATGTCATGCCCTTCCCCTCACCCTCCTGAATCAAATCCATCACACTGATATTTTTAAAGTGTTATCTGCCCTTTGTATAGGAGTGCCAAATCAGGCCCATAACTTCCTTCCTATGAACAGCCTTTTTTAGGTTTTGCTTTGTTTGGCATAATTCCATTAGCTATGATAAAAAAAAAGTGTGGTCAGTCTCTTAGTACTGCGTTTTGGCTCAGACCACATTATGAGTTACACTTTCAGAAACCCTCTTCTCCTTTCATGAGAAACTGCCACCTAACCCGATTTCATTATAAATTAGTTGGTGCTGGATTGAGCACTGAGATTTCATGACTGTGATGGGGCCATGGAAAGACCTGTCACACAAAGAGAGGTGTTTCTTAAGTTGACACAGTATATAGTATTGTCCTTTTTTATACTCAGATTCTACAAGCTCACTGAATAGATCTTTTTGAAAGACAGGAGAGATGAGATTTATCTCCTGGGACACATGCACACACACACATGCACACACACCCTTCCCCCCCCTCCCCTTATGATTATATAGAAAAGAGGAGTGGCCCAGTGGCATACCTGCTGCATATTTTACAGGGCCCCAAACACCTCCCTCAAAGTACTGGAACAAAATCAAGTTTTCCTGTATCTCTTCCCTTGCACACTATATTCTTGATGGTGGAGGGATGATATGATCCCCTAGGAATAGTGAAACAGGTAGGGGTTGTGTGTTTTCACTGCTTACATTTTCAGATACAAGAGGGTAATAAGCTAAGATGGAGATGCCTTTACAGAGATTTCTAGGTTAGTTAATCTTTCTGAGCATTTGTACCAGTTAATCAGACTTAAAACCTGAGCTGTACCAGCCAGAGCCAACCCACTTCCTTTTCCACCCAGCTGTGGCTTTTAAAGGACTGCACCCTACAAAACTGGATGCCCCCCACGCCATGTAACATAAAAGGTCCAGTTCCATAACATGCCATCTCCCCAAAGTCTTCATATCAGGAGTTATATAATTGGCCCTAGCCCAGAAAGGCAGAGTCATGAGCATGTGCATATAAATGGGACCTGTCCAGTCAGTCCAGTGTGCCTATGTAGCAATCCTCATACTATTATGTCCACTCTGAAAGGTAATCAGTTCCATGACTGCGAAGATGCTTCCTTGTCACTGCTAATACTGAGAATACAGGTACCTACCATTGCTGCTTGTATCTTGCACTGGGTCCATTTATAGGAAGTATAACCGTTTTTATGTTTATGTATTTACCTGCATATTTAATATAGGTAAACCCATAATACTTTTAACCTGGTTAGTCCATGTAGACCATTGGTGCTTAACCTGTGGCCCATGAAGACCGTGTGAACATCCCACCGTCAGCGTGAGCTCACTGGCGTGTCAGTCTGGCTTTGAAGCCCAGGGGATGAATGTTGATGCTGCTTGTCCCCTATTTTCCCCTGCTGCAGAATTAACCAGGGGAGGGGGACAACAGCATTCACCCCCTTGGGATGCAAAAGCAGTGGCTCCAGCCAGTGTCTGTGCTGTCATGTCAGAGACCTCAGTCAACTCACTGCACATGTACTACACAGCCAAGAAGGGTGTGACTTCACCCCCTATGATCTTCTCCTGGCCTTTGGCCCATTTCTGATTTTTAGGTTTGGCTCACCTATAGAAAAGGTTGTGCACTACTGATCACACCAGCACCAGCAGTTCCCAGAGTTGTGGTTTAAAGGTGTTAAATGTTGATGAAAAATGAGTGAAAATTAGCATGGGGAGAAGTTGGGTTAAAAGGAAAAAAAACCATGCAGGCCTTTTATGATGTAATTTAACTTTTTGATAGTTTTTATTTTCTACTTTTGTAGAATTTGCTGTCACCTTTCGAAGTATATAATTCTTTTGAATCCTGACCTTTCTTATTTAGGCAGTTCCTGAGTATTAACTACTGTAAAAAATGTTGACTAGTCTGGGATTTCCTTTCCATTAATTCTGCTTCTGTATTTTTAAGCAACGAATGTTGTCAAGACAGGAAGAACTTAAAGAACGAGCAAGAGTTCTGCTTGAGCAAGCAAGAAGAGATGCAGCTTTAAAGGCGGGGAATAAGCAGCTAACCAATACAACTGCCTCAGCCCGTACTAAGCAACTGAGTGATGTAAGGAATGTTGGCCATCATGGCATTTAAAAATTACACATAGAAAGTTATAATTAATCCTACATATTGTTATATTTATTTGTTTAGAGAGCCCAAAGTAAGTTTGGGGAAAGTTCAGTGTCAGCATAGGATGTACTTACAGAGAATGCTTTTACCAAAAAAAATGCCCCAATTCTTAAAGGTACTTTAGGCCATCAGCTCCTATTTAGAACTTCATTTTACCCCTGTGTAAGTCAGTGTAAAAGGGCCATAAACTTCATGGAAGGAGCACTTTAGTTGATTGGCATCCTTGTTTTTAAGACACTCATGGAAGAAGAAGCAAAGCGACCTGTTAAGTTATAGTGGAACTTTCTATTTTTCATGATGTCCATTTTTGTCATGAGAATGGAATATGCTGGTGGTGCTGTTAAGTATCGCTCTGCAAACCAGGTCCAACAGAAGCTTCCCATTGCCCCACCAGCAACCCCCATCATGATGTGAAGGGGTGTATGCTCTCTGGTGAGGAAAGCTAATATATTCTTATTCACACCTTTGCCAGGTAGAATATGTGCAGTAATTTTGTGATTCCAAGTTTTGTGCATTGTAACTGACAACTGTGGACCTCACTGAAATTGATGATACAGATAAAGAGTTGGCCTTTCCCTGAGTTATACCATTTAGAACCTGGTCCTCCATGGCGCACACTGCCTTTTGACACAAACAGGATTGCATAGGATTAAGAGGAAACAGTATTTGATTAATTTGTTTTATTCTCTGAATCATTGTGGCTCTGTCACTTCAAATGTTTTTCCTTAGGAAAAAAATATACTGCCCCCCTTCCCAAAAAGAAACATTAATATGATTTTTATACTTATTTTCTTCATAAAATATCTCTAATGCTTGATCTTTATTTCCATTGTGTGAATTTGTGTTGGATATTTGGGGGTGAGGGAAGATAGTAGGGGTATATTACACTTCTGCAGCTTTTAAAAACATGTTTTTCAATAGATCAAGCTGCATTACAAGATAAATGTTAGAAGCAGCTCAGTTAATGACAACTGAAATTAAGGTTAACCAACACTGTTCATTATATTACCTAGGTTTTAGAACTTTGCCAAAGCTTAGTTGTTCAGGCTGAGATTTTGCATGCCAGCTGTCTGGCTCCAGCTAAATGTTTTGGTAAATTTCAGAAAAAGAAAACAGTTCATCTCTTTCTCAGAGATGAACCATGTTTGTTACCCATGTAAAGAATGTATTTATAACTGTTTCACTGAGAAGCTCTTTAGGAAGAAGGACTTGGATTTGGGAGATGGGAGGGTGGGGGATCATGTGGGTGTCAGTGATGTGCCAACCCTTGAAATCTGGCAAATTATCTACCAAAACCTGGCCATTTTATAAGCCAGTTCCTACATGCCCATTAGAGATTTGTTAGGGTTTGGCAGGTAAATTCTCTGGAAATTTGTACTGTGTGCGCCCAGGACTAATCCAGTTTTTTTCTGCAGTTGCTCCTCTTTGCAGCCAGGGTCCAATAATATGTAAGTGACAGGGTCTGAGAGAAAGAAGACTGTTTCTCAGATCAGCTGTTGGTGTCCAGGAAGCAGCCACCTTACTGGAATGCAGATAGGTTAGGTATGAGTACATGGCAAGGTGGTGAAGACTGGGATGTAGAACAAAAAGAAAGTGAGTGCTGGTGACAGGGATGTGGAAATGAAGGACAGAGACCAGGGGGTGAGAGAGGGCTTCAGAAGCTCTGAACTCACAAACCTGCAACTGAAGCCAGTGAGAGTTGTGCTGGGAACAAATAAAGAAATGACAAATGCCAAGTCTCTGAAAAATCAGATGATAGAGATTTCTGATTGGACACCCAGCATTAGTGTTCACTTTTGAGCTCAATTCCCTAACTATAAAATGGAGATGATAATATAAGGTAACTTTTTCAGGGGTGTAGTGAATATGAATTTGTTGCTGTTTCTGAAGCCTATAGACACTAATGAAAAAGCTCATAGATAAATGAATAATTCCAGAGCGCCATTCGAATAGTACATATTTCATGAGGCCCGGGGCCATGCACTAAATGATACGGGTAAAATAAAATATTGAATAGTTGTTAATTCATTGTCATCTTTGGCACTGAATGGGTTACAGGTATTCTGTATCAGGGTATGGGATTAAAGACTGTGTCATAAAACATGCACATAAAGGGGCTGACTTAAGATCCAGTGGCAATCCTAAATCTAGCAGTTCCTAACTTTTCAGTGCTTTACTTTGTAAACTGAGCACCCATTAATATGGATTTTGTACAAGAGACAGAGACTAGTAAAACATAGTAATATATTTGTATGATCAGCAGCTGATTTCTTTTAGTGGAGAGCATCTTGTAGTCTTTTAATACATTTGATACTTGGTATAGATGTTCAACTTGTTTTATTTTAGTAGAGCTACAAGAGTTTAAGCCAGGCTATAATGTATATATTATGACTTTTAAGTACTTTATGAAGAAAAAAATACTTTGGATAGTGCAGATTATTTTTTAGCTTAGAAATGTTCTTTTTGTTTGTTTGTTTGTTTATATTGGTATGTGTGGTTCATTAAGATCAGCAGTACAGGAAAGCTTTCAGCCAAGTATCCATCTTCATTTTCACATTACCCAGAGTGGTATGTGTCTGTATTCCAATCAGATGAAATAAAATCCAGTTTGTAATACAATTCATGCTAAGAACAATGAGAATCTTTCTGTGTTTTATGACTAGCAACCTTTTTTGGGTGCATAGACTGAGAAAGCAAAAAGGGTACATGCTTGGTATTTTCTGAAAATCAAGTTCCTTCAACATGTATCAACTCGAACCATGAAAATCATTAGTTAGTTTTGAAAATCATGTCATATATACTTCACTCCTCTAATTCTTCCCGGCTTCTTTCCAAGTATCCTGAGTGGCATTATTTTAGGTGAAAACATGAATGAAATCTGCAGTGAAGTATGACTTTGTAACATTTGAGCTCAACAAAAGGACCAGAATTTCCACGTTCACTCAATCATCATGAACAAATATTGCTTGTACTGTCCCTGCCTTGTTGTTCTCACTTGTTTTGGTTGCATTCCTTTTTAAAATGAAGTAAACTAGCTACATCTGCACTGTGCATGAAGTGAGACCCTCTTAACTCTACCATTCCCTTCTGTTTCCAGTGTGGAGCCAAAGTAGCAAGCTTCTTCAGAAGCCCTTTCAGCCTGATTTTGTCTACTCTTACTCTATCAGTCCATCTCTTTTTCCCCTCACTCCTTCCCCTTTATGTAGTGTGGATACATTCACTGCTTTCAAAGTTGGGTTTGCTCATTCAGCGCCTGTGAAAGTCACTCATTCTCCAGCCTGCCATATGTGCATATGTCAAGCAAGGCGAGGAATATTCCTCTGATCAGACCGGTTATCCCCAGTCAGTGTAATAGGCAATGGCATTTCTCTGCCTTCCCACTCCTGTCATCTTTATAAATACCTCATCCTGCTATCTGAAAAGAATTCGTCCAGGGTACCTATCTTCCCCAGAACTTTGTGATGAAGCCTGAATCAAAGAAACCATTTAGCTTTTCCAAGGTGTCCTTATCTTCCTTAATTACTCTCCTAGCTCTGTTGCAGTGTAACAGACCTACTGATTCTCTCACAGGTGTCCTGCTTCTGATACATTTACACAATTTCTCTATTTGTTTTTCTGTCTCTAGCTATTTGCCCTTTAAATTCCCTCTTGATCCTCTTATAGGCCTTTTTGAACAGCAGTGCCATGCCCTTAGGCAGGAGAAGCTTGCAGGGTGAAGAACGCTTATGCAGCTGCAGATTCATCTTAAACTTTACCTACCAGAGTCTACCTTCTTGTTGGCCCTACTTCATCTAAATTTCCATTTGCTTGCCCTCTTAATTTCAGACATGTCTTCTATCTTGCCATTCAGTTTTACAATTTGAGTAATTTGTGCCTCTTGCTCCATTTTACGCTATATATTCATTTATTTTGTTTTGGGCTGTACAAGTTGTCTGTGTGCTGAGTCTTCTAGCATTTTCACTACCTAAATTTTAACCAAGAGGGATTTTTTATTTTTCTTCAACTTTCTTTTTCTCAGGTTTAATATTTCAGTCCTATTTGGAGTGACTACACCTCTCTCCCTGTCCCCCAGAAATGGTTCAGCTAGATTATTTTGGATGGTTGTTGGCAGTTGGGAGTTGAACAAGTTGTCTTGAACACAAGGAACCTGGGGGGTGGCTGCAAGTGGGAAGAGGTAATGAGAAGGACAAAACTGGAAAAAACTCAAGGGTAGGCTGATAGGAATGTGGCTTGGGAGAAGGAACCCAAGCTTTAGGAATCTCAACACTTCTCTACTGTGAGCAAATATATGTGAGACCCATTGGCAAAGTGTTCGCCTTCACCCCTTTTACTGCTTGGTCCACAGAGCGAAGAGCAATCTTCTACTGTAAAACATTACTCTGTTAGCGCAAGTGGCTAAAAAAGATTTGTATTGCAGACCTCAAGATTCCAACACCACTGATAAGGTTGGCATGATTACAAGTGATAGAATTCTTGCTTTTGCAATTAAGGTGTTTTTTTTAAAGGAAGAGAAAGAAAAGGTAACAGGCAGACGAAAAGAAGAGAAAAGTTAGGAGATTACGCATACTGACTGTGAATGGCATATAATGGTTGCAAAGTTAAGCACTCAGGAACTGGGAAATGTACAGTCAACCTTCCTTCACTCTCTTGTGTGTATATGTTATGCTGCAGTCTTTAATTACATAATCACATAATTTTTTTCCCACAAGACCCCTCCTCATTCAGTACAGAGTATATATGGTACCCTGAGAGGTTATGTAGTGACCAAGGGTGCTGTTTCTGCCTCCTTTGTTACAGAAACTGAAAGGGTACTCCAGGGAAAGAAGGAATGTTGCCATAGTTAAGGCCTGTGAAGGCCATCGTAGAGAAGAAAATTGTTTCTCCCTCAGCCACCAAATATCTGCATGATTCAGGTTAAATTAACCAAATCAAGG